TTAAGACAATTCCGCACAGATGCAAACTTTCCCACTGGCAAATCACGAAATCGTGGCTTCAAAAAAATAATCAACGGCCAAAATAAATTCATAGCACCAGGCACGTAAAGGCCTTCCTAACTTGGATCTACGAGCTGTAGTAAATTACCTACAAGTCAAAAAAAAAAATCACGGCATACCCACGGAGTGATTGATGATGAGTGGGGCGAGGCTTCGCAGGATTTTATCGGCTAACAATTGAATCAACCGCTGGCCGCGTCCGTACGTCTGTCTGTCCAACCGTCTACCCGTCCGCCTGTCAATCTATCTATCTGTATGTCCATCCGTCCGTCCACCTGTCCATCTGTCTGTGTGTCCATCCGTCCGTTCATCTACTGAACACTCCAAGCACCGCCATCTCGCATCTTTTCATCATATATTGGATAGATGGATGGATGGATGTATCCGGTTGTACCCTTTAGATCGGGTGTTGGCTTACGCCACCTAGCCATAAACTTAAGTATATGTATACTATTACTATGTGTTTAAGGATTGAATTTCACTCGCGCTTTGATTGTAGCCACCAATCAGTTAGCCTCCTCCTAGTTGTTTCTACCCGCTTAAAGTCTATTTTGCCTTCATCGTCCTTAAACCCCAATGCTTCGAAAAATTCTGCGCCATTATGTTGGACTATAGGGTTGAGCCCTTTACAGAACATTATCAAATGTTCAGCCGTTTCCTCCTCCCCTCCGCACACACTACATACCGTATCTGCGCCTTCGTATTTGGCTCGGTACGTCTTGGTCCGCAATACTCCCGTTCTGGCCTCGAACAGCGGAGAACTACCCCGAGAATCATCGTAGATATCTTCTTTTGCAATTTCCTGCGTGAAAGTTCGGTAGGTCTTTAGTGATGATTTCGTAAGCTTTCCAATCTTCCACATGTCCCTCTATGCTTCCTTCCCCTTCTTCTTAAGTGATGTTTCCTTCTGGCTTTTGCTATATTCATCATATACAAGTACCGCCATTCAGCGGACATTCCAAGGACTAAAACGAGAGGTGGCTACTACATACATGAGACTCACGCCTTAAGGAGTTTCGCCCCTAAAGGAAATGATCCATAGTTTCTACCTCGCCGACATTGGAGAAAGAGCCTGACGTGTCACGTAACACGTATCAGACCTGTGTTGGTAGAAATTAAGTTTCGCAGCCGACAGCGCAGCTTCTAGTTTACGTGTTTAACTTATGATCGGCGCCAGGGATATAATCAGTGCTTATATTCTGTCGAATCTGTGAAGTGATGTACCTGCAAAGCTTTCCGTATATAATGCTACGCCTGCGAAATCGCGCAGCCGTTACACGAGGATTATGGAAAACACGGCAAAATCGGTCCACTTATTGATGACTTCGCTAAAGAATCGGCCCTTTCGTTTAGGAGCAGCTCTTTAAGACCAGACACCCAATCTCCCAAACTAATCTAACTTTGGCCGTAACTCGACAGCACAGACCACAAACAGAAGACAAAAGCAAGCAGCCATCTAGGCATGGAGGAAGGAGTAAACGTTTTGTGAAGCCGGCAATAGGGAAGAGTGGCGTACTCCTCCTCTGAATTGTGGGCACGGACGGCGGCTCGCGAATGCGCAACGGGCGCCAGCGAGAAGGAGGCGAGCCGATTTCGGACGCGCCGGGCAGCACCGCCTTGCCATCTCATAGACGAGCTGGAAAAGCGAAACTTTCGTGCTGATTACGAGCAAACGTGCTGTGGTACTCGCTCGTGGAGAGCCTGTGTGCCATTCGCAGCCTTATTACGGCTCATTCTGTGAATCTACAACAAACTTGCAGCTTTGCACTTCACGTTTAATCCGCTGAACGCAAGAAAGCAACGGCATGAATCGGCCGGATAATCGCCACGACAGGCTGTGTTCTTCTGCCAATACGGTAAGATCGGGGTATGGAACATCATGTAACAGTGAAATACTGTTTAATTGATCTTGCTGTTTAGGCAGATGAAGTAGCTCCGAACCGTTCTTTGTCATGAGTGTCACGATACGTGCGCACGAGGATCGTTCGCAGCAGCGTGCGGGTCAGCCGACTGTTACCATATCGCAAAAAAAGTTGTCCAAAGATGAGGCACGAGAGAAACGTTAACAGGAAGCGATAATTAAAACGATTCATCGCCTTCTGTGTCAGCCACGTCTATAATTCTTGACTCGGCAAGCCCCGGTGAGAACAGTGGACCACGCACTGCTTTCCGATAGTTGCGACTGTCGCGCACGAGAACGGCTCACCACCACCTCTGGCATTAAGAGCCGTCGACGCTGCCAATCTCGTCTTGAAATCAGAAGCTTCCTTCGATGAGGCGCACAACAGCTCAGTGCCGAAGGAAAGCAACGAAGCTGCGGCGCCAATCCCTCACGAGCTTCGAAAACGAACCGCTTTCGACCTCGAGCAATATAAAGTAAACTCGCAACCGTGAAGACCAACTCTCGCTGTAGGTTTCTGACACATCGCATCATCTCTGTAGTGCTACAGCTGCATAAAAATGCGCATTCAGAAGCTCCAGCCGGCTATCAACAATGCGCTCATTGGAGTGATGATGCAGACGACACGAGACGTCGACGTGCCCACCTTGTCCCACAACCCCCCTGTAAAGTCACGTGACTTCCACAACACATTTCGCTCTGCAGTAGAGAACACGTCTGCAGCTTGCATTGCGACGATGGCAAGGATGTTTAAAAAATTGCTAAAGTGGAAGCACCCGCAAAGCTTTGCCAGCAATAGTGAAGCCAGCTTTTGCCCTCCAAAGATCTCGTAAACATGCTATTTTCTGCCGGGGCCCATTCAGACATGAAGTTGCTTTGACCTGTTTGTCTAAAGGCTTAATTTTTATAAATTACAAGATAGTTGTTTCTAAAGAAACAACCCACGCATACGAGTATCAGTGACGTAATCTTCATTAAAATTTGCCTTGACTTCGAGGCTTACTAAAGAAAACTAGTACAAGGGGGACGCACTTTGAGCACTATTTGACCAGAAAAGGTTGCCACGCTAAACTCGCTGGACGTGCGAGGAAAACGCTCCTTCTCAATTGCCAGTCGATTTGTTTAGTCTTCCCAGCACGTGGGATGGCTTTCAGCTCTCCCATAGTACAGTACCAAGTACTGTAAATCGTTATCCACTTCTTCTAAACACACAATTGCCAGGAGACATCGAATACGTTCAAGCTGTTAAGGTGTTATAGGCATTTACTTTGAAGAAGGAGATGTCTTAAAAAGGACCTGGGATGACGTATTTAGAAGATCCACCAATGTCACATCAGCAGCCAGCTCATTTTAACCTCTCACTAACGGCAAAGGCAATGGTCATCGAGACACAGGTATGCGCTTTTGCGTTTTACATAGCACACATTGCCCTACTACCTCGCCGTGTAACAGGACGCCTCGCCTCCATTGCGGGAGCCTTCCTCTGGGGAGGAAAACCAGCAAACGTACAAAGGAAATTTTTACAGCTTCCCACAAACCGTACGTGGAGGCCTTGGTCTCGCCGACATACCAACATTCACGAGAGCACTGGCTGCAAAAACAACACAGAAGCTCTTCGATGACGAAAACTGCCACTGGTACAGGCTCTTGATTCACTGGAGCAGTACACTAAAAAGAACTTTCACGGCAAATCCATGCATTGGACCACGAGCAGAAATCCCGCTTAAGTTTTACAGAGCTGCCAGTGGCTTAGAACGAACAGTGGAATCAATAGGTTCATGCACTCAGGAAGATGTTTCATCACAAGAAAATAAGCGAAATGGTGACAAGTAGCACATTGAGCAAAGAGGAAGAAAAAGCATCCTGCCCGGAAAAATGGAAACGATGGCGTTGCAATCGCGTACCTAACCAGGTGCGCAAGTCTGACTGGTTGAGAAGATGGAGGGCGTTGCCTACGTGTGACCGGTTATCACATTAGGGAGTCGTTCTAAATGACCGCTGTCCAAACAGCGGCAAAAGAGAGACGGCCCAACATGCTCTGTTTCAGTGCTCGGTGGCGAAAGGCGTCTGGCACATGGTACAACGCCTCTTTGGTTTTCGCACAGTATGGCACAATTGCCTCATAGAGACGCCTACCCCGCACTCCAGAAAATACGGCTCATTGTGTGGAATTACGTCGATCAGCAGCTAGAAACGCACGGCGAAGAGGATTTCCTTGGACGATGGCACACACGTTTCTTCAGAGAAAGGGAGGGACAGCTGAATTTTCCAGTTGTTCCGCACTAGTTATGCGCCCACTCTAGCACGCATGCATATGTGGTATTCTGTCAAATGTGATTAATTTGATTCACTTTAATTTTCAGTTGACTTGTAACATTTGGGTACCCAGTGATCAATTAAATTTTGGTGCTCATTTGTAAGATGTATACACTGTCTTTACTTGTTTTCGATGTTTCGTTTGTGTATGTACAAGTTATGTGTGCAATAAACTTCTCTTTCTCAATCGCCAAACGCCGATAACTTAACATGCCTCTAGTAAGATGGCTGCTGCAGCCGCCATCTTACAATGGGTAAGGCTTTGCTCGTGGGCGATAATTTCTGCTCGAGCAATTTTTTTATAAACTTTCTTGGACGAGGACCTTTCCTTTTTAGCTTTCCTTTCTTGACGATAAATATAGACACTCAACACAAGGCGCAAGCGACATGACGCGGACGACTTAGTAGCGTCGCCAAACACGGAGGATATTGCTTCCGCCGTTCCAACAAGCTTGACATTTAAGCAAATGGCGAATTACTTACTGTTGGCCAGCTAGCAAACAGAAAACAAAAGACCAAGGATTACCTCACGTGCACGACACGACGTCAGACGACGTGCTGAGAATCACAAATATCGCTGCAGACCACAGCTGCCACCAAAGAATCTAGTAACGCTGGCTGCCACAGCAGTGGCCGTGCCACAGCGCATCTACAGCGCCAAAGTTGCCGCAATCAAACAAAAACCGACGCAATCCAATCCAAATCATTGTGCGAAATCCAAATCCATAACACGGAATTGTGCCACTGTGGTTTAGTTTCGCTGGCACATTACCGCGTCCTACCGCTAGTTTGTTAAACATGGTTTAATTACGCTGGAAAACTTGGTGGCAGGCTTGCTAAACCTGAGTGGCTATGTTTGTTATTTGATAGATTGACAGGCCAACTTTTTCTGCTCGTGTGCGTTGTGATCTTCGCACTCGAACTTTTCGCTCCGGAAAGACTCGCCCTGTAAGTTGTCACGCATGATAAATTTTATATGTCGTGATGCTAAGGTCTATATTATTTTCCGTGTGACACTACGCCTGTTTTCTGTCTTTCTATTACTCCACGACTAGTCCTTACGAGAAACAACCTAGCGCGTTTGGTCGACTGTAGAGAGAAAGAAGCTGACATGTTTACATGACTTGTGCTCAATGTTGTTCCTTGTCCCACTATGCCGCGAAACGTCTAACTTGCCGTGACGAATACAGACATTCGATGTTGCTGAAGTGTAGGAACGTGTAATACTTTTAATAGTAATACCTTCTTTGGCTACTTACAAGGCTTTCCTGGGAATTATATTCAGGTCGCTTATTTGATCGTGTTCGTGTTGTGTTTAGCCGGGGTGATTTTCCTATAGCCTGTCTGGATCATCTTCTTTTTCCATTTTTGCAGAGTAAAGTACACAGGAGTTAGTGGTGCTCGAAGGCATATTGTTACTCAATGAAGAAATCGCTGCGATTAACCAACGCCTGTAATGCGCACCTGAACGGGCGGTGCATCGACATCGATGTGCGCAGAATGTTGACCTCCTCGAATCTCGTGCACGTCATTCGCACGAGCAATGAAGAAGCACCCATGTCATGTCATATCATGAGTGGCAGCATTATGACTCGTTGGCAAAGATTCGCCGTAAAGTATCGATAGAAGGGCAGACAGACAAAAAATGTATATATTCATCTTGTAGTCGCTGCTGTTCACAAGCCTCCTCTGTTTTCTCTTTCCTAGTCTGCAAAGTTGTGGCGAGGTAAATAAATTCAGCTATGTGTAAACTATAGCCCTTGAATATTCAACATTGCTCCATTTCACTTGATGTGCCGCATTTTGCGGCAAGCTTACACTTTGCCAAAAGCATTTTACCGTGTTTAGCGAGCGGCGTATCGTCATTCATTTTGAAAGTGTGATTTTTCTTACATTGTTTTTAATTACGTTTTGCATGTGCCTTGAGCCAATAATATGGTTAGAAAATAAGAGAAGAAACACAGCATGCATGACTAACTCCACTGTTACTGTGTAAACATGACAACTCGCCTGAAAATTTGATGTGAGTTGATTTAAATAAATAAGTGAAATGCATGAAAGTTAGCTGGCGTAGTCATCCTTTAATAGTGTCTTCAAGCCTGTGCAACAATTCCATATGTACAACAGTGTCGCATAAATAAAAAATGAGATACAGTGCAAACAGCACAGGACAGAGGCAGTTTAATAACAGTTAAGGATTCATGTCCAAACACCACGATAGGATTGCCAGGGCACCGTATTGGGTGTCTACAAAAATTCCGACCATCCGGTGTTCTTTAAGGTGCTCCCAAATTGAAGAGCACGGGTCTGTAGCATTTTGCCTCTATTGAAAATGCAGTCACCGGGCCACTGAGATTAGATCCCTTGACTATCTGGTCAGCACGCCATGAGGTGAAATTTGCTACGTCATGCTATATTTTTGCAAAAATCCCAATTCGCGCTAAGCATGTGCCAAGACGTAGTTAATTCTGTGCTTTTTCGGAAAAAAAGCTCAACGTGCTTGCAACCTATACTCGCACTACCACTGTCATTTAAGTGCTCATTGAAGCATACTGATGTGTACTATGTAGTTAAAGTAGTTGCTAGGTACCAAATAATTCAAGGTGACCCATACTGTGCACATAAAGTTTTTTATTACTGCTAGCTATGCCATACTGTATTACATTATTAAGCTCAGTAAAATAGGTTCTAACTATTGTGAACCACGCTTTAGTGAACAGTAGATCGATGTTCTTGAATAGACCATTTTATTATAGTTAGTTTGTTTTACAAAAAAAATGGTACTATTTGTTATGATATACTACTAAGAAAAGTCGTGCAAAGTGCTTAATTTGTTATGTCTCACCATACAATCAAGACTTTATCAACCATACCACTCTGCAGTGGACTGAAAAAGCACGGTGTCCCGGCATTCCGGTATCTCGGCTCTTGTTCTCGATTGCAGCAACAGTTCTCGCTTGTCGAAGTTAAATAGAGATCCTCGCATTACCACAAATTTTATGGAGCACAAATTAGGTTTCAGGCACAAAGTACAATTGAAAGAGTACTGACATGACTTGAAGACATCGCAAAGGGGACACCTTAAGTTTCCTTGGTATGCAGTGGGCACACTTAGTTAAGGAGCTCAAGCGTGCTCTAGCCAGTAAAATGTGCTTTTGCTAACTTAATCGTTAAAAAGAGACTTCCACTGCATGATTACAAAGTGCGTTCTATGCGCTCCAACCCTGCAACAATGGGCATTATTGCGACGTGTCAAGACGGTTCCTGAGCTTGCGAATGCTGCGTCCTGCAGGCAGCCTTTATCGCATGAATCAATCTCCGGGTCACTGGGTGACGATTCACTCGTCATTCCTTACCTGCACCACCAGCAGATGACACAGTTGCCTTTATTATGTTGGCAGTTGCTGTCTTCCCGTGACATCACACTGCTATGACACGTCACCGAGAAGCAGTCCCCTGGATATCGAAACTAAAACTGTTCGTTTGAGGCTTTGAGGTAGCGGTAATAAAAACATATTCAGTGCATGCGCAGGCACTACAGCACTCATTTTAAGTTTGCCGACATCAGTACCTTCATTAAGAGCAATAGTCCAAAAATTTTTAGAATTTGTTTCGGTACTCATTTAATAAATCCTGTATCTTATTGAACAACTGTGAACTAGTATCCTCGCGATTATCTCCATAAAGCACAACCACAGGCACTTCATCATACAGCGAAGCCCTAGGTAGCTCTGAAAATACAAAGCTCATCAGAGTAGTCTTTGTGAATAGTAAGCAGAGTACATGCAAATTTTACATAGACTGTGCTTCAAGTAAATAAAGCATCAGGGAAACTCATAATCATTCACAAAGATGAGGCGGATTCTGGGATAATGCTTGATGGCTTGAGATAACAGCTCCGAGGAAACTTGGGGCTGTCCACAGAAAAGCGACGAGCACTTACCTAGCTTGATATTTTGGCATACTTTAAGTAAAGATGCACGTGTTTGTATATGTATCGATTTTCTAAACATGTAGTAGAACTGATCAAGCCTAGAGACATATATTTGCATTAGAAAACGTTTACTTGGTAACTGTTCCAAAATGTTGAGCTGCTCTGTGGTGTGGTTCTAGCTGCTCTAGAAGCTGTGCCTAAGCGACTTTGGTTGATTGCATCACTGTATATCGCCCAACTAAGCACTCCAGTGTGCTCTATTTTTATCATAATTTGTGACTGACTGCGTTACACAGACCGAAGACTATCCTGCAATTTGTTTCAGCCAGCCACTTTTGCAGCTCCTACCAGGGCTGCATGCAGCCATGACGCAGCGGCGGCTTCCTAGTACCGCTGCGGCTGCCCGTGAAGTAAAGACTGGTTCAGCCACTGTTGCCGATAAGCAGTTGATGGGCGAGGAGCAATGCAGCCTGCAAGTGGCATTCGAGGAACTGCAGTGCCACCTAAGACAGTCACGGGACGAGATTGCCCGCCTTGAACGAGTGAAGGCAAAGCTTCGGGCCGAGGTGGAGGCGAAAAACATCAGTCTGGGCTACCTCCAGCAGCAGCTAGACAAACGTGACCAAGAGGCAGAAGACCTTAGGTCAAAGGTGGGTGTTGGAATCAAGAAGGACCCTGAGGTGGCTGAATTAACACTAGCCAACCTCTAAACTTGTCAATTCATATTGAAACCTATAGCACACAGAAGGAACAAGGCTCAGGAGTATGACATGTGTACAGTGCTAACTTCCAATGAATGATTTATTTTTTGAAGCAGAACTATTTATTTTATGTTACAAGTTAGTTCTGTGTCGGTTTTGTAGTGCTGTGATTTGTTCCTTTTCTACGCTCTAGGTGACAACATGCACAAAACCACATTCATCAAGTCACTTTTGTGAACATGTAGGAAGTTCAAGGAACGAGAATAATTGTCTTGCATATGACAGTAACATGAAGAAACAGACATGACAGGATGTTATCTATCCGACAGTAGATTACAGGTTTAATAATAATAGTAATATGTGGCATTTTATGTGCTGATACCATTATTTTATTATGAGGCATGCCATAGTGTAGGGCTCTGGAAATTCCTACCACCTAGAGTGCTGTTTTGTGCACATAACTCTAAGTGTGCGAGCCTCTAGCATTTTCGTCTCCATCGAAAATGCAACTGCTGCGGCTGGGATTGAGCCTGCAATTTTGAGTCAGCAGCCGAGCATCACAACCACAGCAGCAGCTCCAAAAAGGTTTCTTACGTCGTGAAGTGCACAACCTGGGAACTTCGTGGAGCCTGTTGACGGATGTAGCAATGATCTATGTTCAGAGCCCTTTTTAATTGAGTTGTACAGTAACTCAATGTCACTTCGTAACCTGCGGGTTGCTTTGTTAACTTTGATGGTCGGGCATCCACTCCAAAAATTTCAGCTCCAGGTTTTATTCTAAAACCAAAGAGAGCTGCGAATCTTACAGGCTTTGTTTGCAGCCTCATGATGCTGTCAAAAAGATGAGAATTGTTCACCTTTGTTGACTCATTGCTGAAAGAAAAAACTCAGCACTGAGCGCTGGTAAAAATGATGCGACACTTTCTAGAGAAAAAAAAGAAACACGCACAACCTTGCCACATCATCTGAACCAAATGCAGCATGAATGGCTAGCATTTTTTGTCTTCAAGTTCTAAAAGTCGGGACAAGAAAAATATACCGTTCTCACACTCATTTTGAGTGTATATTATATGGTGATAACAGTGGTAATTTTGACTGTTTTTCCTGATAAATTTATCATTATTAACTTGTCTAGCCTATAAATGCATGCAGTGTATATTGAAAATTGTCCATTAATGTAATTGGCCAAATGCATAGCCCCAGAAACCTGCTCTCTTTGATACAGCTTGAGCAAGAAAGCCAACGGAACGCTGAGCTCACACAGCAGCTTGCGGAGGCCCAGAAAGCGAATGCTGAAGCTTTTGGTCCATCTCCACTGCCAAAGGTCACCAAGAAGCAGCCATTTCGCTACCCTGTCGAAGTGGGCCTCCGTGACTCCGATGAAGACGACCCGGCTGTGTGGTGAGCGTTGCACGCTCTGATGCTGTACAAGGCACTTCAGTTTTCACTTCTGTTTCGAAACCTCTAATGGCATGCCATAATGGCATACATAATAAGTGTTTATTAAAATAAGTTTAGTTGCTTGTTTTTGTGCTTGACATCTAGCGCTCTGCACTATTGTTTTTTAAATTGGAAAATGTGGTTAACTCTTTCTTTACCACGCCTATTCAAATTGATCACTGGTGATCCAAACTTTGGATGATCGATTTTTGCATGTTGAATTTGTTTCTCGTATGCACAGCATTTTCTAGTAGTTAGTCTAGCCAAATTTAAGAATTAATTTTAATTTGCCTGTTGTGGCATCACAGTGGTTTTTCATAAACCTTTGTGCAAACCAATGTGCATTGTAAGAAAATGCACTTGGCTGACGAACTTGACAGAAATGTGTGCCTTTGCGGTTATTTATTTATTTGTACAAATACCTCACATATTCCTGTGTTTGGAACATTGTGCAAGGGGGGAAGGGGGGAAGACAATAATAAACAAGAGCTAAGAAATTGTACAAGATATGGCAAATTCAACATTCAATAGGAAAAAAAATAGATGATTAAAAGAGACATTAATAGGCATGGAATGCAGCACAGCTAAACACACTTAGGCAATGACAATACATGTGTGTGTGTGTGTGTGTGTGTGTGTGTGTGTGTGTGCACACACACACACACATAGTGTAGATTAAAGAGGTCCTTCATTACCAGTCTCAAATGAAACACGAACAGCAGCCAGCATTGTCAATGGTAGTCTTTGCCGTCCTGTTGATGGGCAAGCACATTTGATTTGGCAGCACTACGCCATGCCACTATAGTGCGATATTTTTGCTTCTCTTCTAGTTCTGATATTTCAAAGGAAGAACATAGACCCAGAATAAAATTGAAACAACCAAAAGCACAACCATGCCGGCTGCCATTATATCACCATATCTGAACTATAAATGAAAATATTGCACTGTAGGGGCACTGCCGCCGATCCTGACGTACGTGCCTGTTAGTAGTGGTGACTATATGGCACGCACTCTACCATTGCTAATACTTGCCGCTGTTCACTTGATGTCGATAGTGTCCTCACATAACATTCATAGGCTCATTGGGAATATCTTGTTTTGTATTGCAGGACATTGGATGGCATGTCGCAATTATTGATGGCTCGAATGCAGCAGGAGATAAAAAGCTTGGAAGAGATAGGTGGGGAAGTCGTCGAAGATCTTCCCTCAGGTGATGGGTCGAGAACGCTTGTTAGCCACGACCAGCCACAGGTGGCAGCAAAGGGAACGTCCAAAGAAGAAACGATACAGCACGACAGCAGCCTGCAAGCTGCAATGCGGCTTATTGCCACGCTCACTGCACAGCTTAACACTGCCAGGGAAAGGGTGCTGGGCCAGAGGGCAGCGCTGCTCTCCACTTTGGCCAGGCTTAGAGGTAAGCCACAAGTCAGCCATTGCAACCACAGACCAGTGGGCCTTACTTTAGAGCCACCAAGCAAGCAAAGTACGAGATTGAAACCATTTCCCTCAGACACGTAGCTATTATAATAAATGTGTACGGACACGCACATGCATTTGTTACAGAATAGCAGATGAGACTGCTCCCTTCAGCACAGATATCCTTACATTAGTGTTCTAGCCATTGATGCTAGATTGCATGGGGAAAGAAAATGACACAAAATACGACCACAACGAGCGAAGATGCAGAAATGATAAAGAGATCGAATGAGCCATGTCGGCAAGTGGCCACTGTTTCTTCTCACAATAATTGAAAGAGAATTACAGCTCTAGTGTATATGCAAAAAATTGATGTGCTCTCCTATTTTCATATTCTACCATTATGATGGTTTTACAAGTTAAAACACCTTTGCTGTGATGTGGTTGATATCTACAGAAAGGCATATTTATTGCTGTAAATGCGAGCATAATTATGTAAGAAGAATATGAAGAGAATATGCAGGTGCTGACTTCCAACAATAATGCATGCTAATGGAAGTTATTGTCCGTGTCTCTTACCTTTGTGTTCATGCTTTTAGGTGTTTTGTTTTTTTCGATTCCACGGCATTAACAGGCTAACATGGCTAGCTGGTGCTCTTTGAGGCCACATGCATTTAAATAACAGTTCTTGGACTGATACACATTCATAGTTACCATAGCTGTGGGAGTGAGTTTATGAGTAATAATAACGCCTCATTAGTCGCACCAGTGACTTGGTACAAAACAGCATAGATGTTGTTTGCAACTGGGGCTTCAGTGGTGTGGTACCTGATGCACTATAAAATATGGGAGACGTTAATTAAGTCTCTAAGGCCTAATGCTCGGGACCTTTTCAACATGTTCATATCGACATTGAAGACTATTCACACAAAAAAAAAATCTGAAAAAAGATGCAGAATTCAAAGAGTTGTAAAGGGGCTGCTCATTTGAGTGTCTCAACACCTGTGAGTACTGGAACGTCTGGGCATAAGCATTATCACAGCTTATCACGACATAATGGAATGACCGTTTTGTTACAGAGAGCCAAACAAGCTGGAAGCTAGGACAGGAAGACAATATTGGAGGCTAATGTAGGCTTACTACTAGTCGCAATACTTATAGCTGTCACAAAGCCACTTCTGTGAAAGCCTGGTATGCGGCATTTCGTATTAATGTGCACAGTGTCATTACAGGCACAGCTATTTTGTGCTCAGGGATCAGAAGTCTTGATTGAACCGTAAATAAATAAATATTTCACAGTTTACTGTCTTGCACACTTTTCTGCTGTCTAAACAATTGTTCATGGTTGCTGTTAACAAACCCACCTCCGGTCTAGTGGTTACTGGTGGTCGACTGCTGACCGGATGATCACAGCATGGAATCAGGGTCTCAGAGGCAAAATGCTATGCACTCTGTGCACGGTGACTGGCACGCTGCTGCGTGGCTGTCGGAGCTGACAGTTGCTGACCAGAGCAGAAGCAACCGCTCTCTCAACGCCCACTAGCACGTAGTTTATCGAAATCATGAACTGTTGCGTAGTCGATTGTACCAACAGATACACGTCGTGTCCTGCGGGAATGACATTTTGTAGTTTCTCAACTCGTCCCTGTTTTATTGGGCAGCGAAATAAGTGGATCACCACTGTGCAACGTAAAAAGTGTTTGTTTCCCGCTCCCTCTACTGTCTCGCGTTCTGCCGCTGCATGCTTGAATTGGTCCGAGACTCTGCAGGTCCAATGATCTTACGTGATGCTCTAGCTGCCATAAAGATGGTGAGAAAAGAAACGTATGCAAGGCATTTTAATTTCGCTCAAGGCTGATGGTACAGTTTAATGGAACTTGATAATTAATTTGCCGTCTATCCTTCACAGTTTTGGGGAATGCAATGCAAAGTCAGTTATCGCTTTGCTGGGTTTATAAGACCATCAATTCAAGGGGCAAACTGAGATATGTAGCATACTACCTTCAACAGAACCAGTTGCCCAGCAGCAATATGTGCTCTCAGTAGGATCAAGCTAAGACATTGGTTGGTTGGTTTACCCTTATTAAACTGGTGTGACCCACTATGAGGTATCAATCATAAAATGGGCGGTACTTTTTTATATAAATTAAATTTTTATAGTCTCAGAAAGTTTAGCAATAGATTGTTTTCGAGATACTAATTAGCTTAATTCACGAAAAAAGGTTGTTGTTGAAGAATAAGCTTGATTTAGATAACCTTAGCATTCAATTCATTTCGTCTCGCATAGTAAATAGCATACGGCACCGCAAACGCTCCTGTGGCTAAAACCCAGTGCTGTAACCCCACGTGTAGCCCCAAAGCAAAGAACCACTGGAAGTGATAAATTGAATCACATCATTTGGAGTGTTTCATCTTGAATTGTTTTCGTTTGATTGGTGGGGGGCGTAGGTAGAAATGATGCAGGGCGTAGAGTAGCAGAACTACATGTTAAAAAACAAAGTGACAGATGTGCATGTCAGTGTTTCTTTCGGAAAGCAAAACAAACACAAGAGATTGCAGTGAATGAGAGAGACGTGATGATGGTTGAAGTGACCATGCCGTTGTCATTGCCACTTTGCAAGGTGAAGCCAAAGACGAAACGGGGCTGGGGTGTCCTCTCTGGCCTAAATCGTAGCCCGTTCTCTTTCTCGCCCCCACATCAAGGTCTTAACATGAGCAGCGCGAGCGGTGAGGTAAAGACTGTGATCATGATGAGCTGTGATGATGTCACAACAGTTTAAAGCAAAGAACTATGCGAGGCACGAAGCCGCAATAAGAGAGCACGCCACCCAGCCACTTACCACATGATTTTCACGGCTAATTGCCGTGGAGCCATCGGTATTTCTGAATGCTCTGAGTATTTTCAAGCATGCAGGTAGGAGGCATGCACGAATAATATTGTAAGTGTGAAAGAATGGTAGCTTACCGCGAGTTATGAAGTAAGCATCTTGCATTGAGCGCACCATCAGATCCTTGCCCGCACACCTGATGCACGTAAAACTTGAAAAGTTTGACAAGTTCAGACTTGGTAAACTTGACAAGTCTGAACGTATGAAGTGCATATGAACGTGTTGAGATATCTGAAGAGCGATTCAGAAAATGCATAACAGCCTTCCAGTGGCGTCAGGTGGGTGGCCGCGTTAAACCTAACTCAAGGGCTAATGTGGTTAGAATTTATGTATGCCTTCAGAAATGTCAGTTTAAAAGCAGATCTTTGGGAACAGCATTCATTGCAGTGAAACGCAATCCATCTTTCTCATTTGTGTCGAGAGTTGTGAAATCTGCATGGTATCAAAATGATGTTGCGGAAGAAAGGCCGGAAACAGGCAGCACGCTGCTCGCCAGCTCCAGCCAATCAACAGAGGCCGAATCGGACATGTCCACGAATTGGACACCGCGAGAATAGTTCCACTGAAGGGGCCACTGCCAATGTGCTATTGTCTGTAACTGTCTTTTGGAAGTTCAGATATTAAAACTCCAGTGAGAATAGAACCGAATAGCAAATACTATTCATAATATATTCGAAATTTCGAATATTGACATACCCTTACGACATATTGCTCTGAATACACTCATGTCTCATTATGATTGTAATACTAAAATATTAACCTGTAAACATTATGCTACATTTATTGCTACCTTATAGTGTAAACCAAGTAAATTGTGACTTTCATTGTTTTTCCATTTGTGCACCAGATAGCCAAGCTAAGAGGCCAGGTGAACGTCCCACTCGGCCGGCACTAAGTGGAACAAGGCCTTCGGACGAAAGCTTTCGCGTCTACTTTACGCAACAGCTCTCTGCAAGCGGCCTCAACGCAGAACTGTCTCAAGGCGCACTACCAGAAGAAGAGCTCGAGAGGGTTTGTCCCATCTGCGAGGTCCTCTTCCCACGGCGCTTCTCTCAAGACGACTTTGAAAGCCACGTCCTCGAGCACCTCTCCGGTCATCCACTTGTGCTCGATCCAGCGCAGTAAGCCATACAGAAAACAGAAGGGTTTTTTTGTTATAAGTCCGTAAAAACTGTTGGCGCATGCATGTGTACCAACTGAGCACGCAGCTAAGCTTATGGCACACAGGTTTAGCTCATCAAAAAACACATTTAATTTAACCAGCTAATGTTACGCTATGTGCATAGAACCACCAAACTGATAGGTGTTTCAACAGTACTTTGACTTGGGAGCATTTATTCATTTTGACACTACTCGCATAGGTGTGCTAAAATGAGAACACATAAAGCGTGACTGGCACTTGACTTCAGTGCCAGTGGTTCCGCATGTGTTCTTTTTATGCTCATCCTAATGCTGTTATGGTAACACTGTAAGGTTTGATATCGTAGGTTCCGTAAACGATATGTGTGACTTGTTGCACTATTTCAGTGCCACCCACTTTTGGAGATGCGAAATTCTTGTGCATTTTAGTAGGCTTGTGCGAATAGTGAATTTTTGGTTCGAAGCAAATTCGAAGCGAGTAGTTATTTTAATCGAATAATTTCGAATCGAATTCGAATTGTATGTATGACATATAAAAAAAGGAATATTTATATGATGCAACTAACCTGCACAGTATATCTTTTGAATTGAAATAGGGGGCTTTATGCAAATGCCATTCATTTTTTAGTTCAAAGGAAGTCAAAACAACCTTGAGTAGTAGTTTTGGTAGGATGCGAGTGCATAACCGGTAAGATACTTAATGTTTTAAGATTTAATGTACTTGGATCATATAAGCTGTCACAACAAGCTTAATAAATCGGAGAATCGATTTGATGGTATCATGTTCCTTTAAAGGGGCCCTGCAAGACTTTTTCAAGTAGCCATGGAGCCAGTAAACATGCTTGTTGCCTCACAAATTTACTGCCGCAAAGTTTCTAGAATCAGTCCAGTATGAGTTCCAAAAGTTCCAAAAATTTGTCGCACGCTGCAGTTGCATTTTCTCTTTTCGTTTTGACGAAATAACTGGAAGCTAAGCAGGGAGGAATGGCACGGCAAAAGAAAATACCCCATACGCACCTCGTGATCTTGAGCACCCCTCTTTTTTTCTTCAAGTGCGCGGCTTTTCAGTGAGATCGCGCACGTACTCGTGGACAAGCGGCGGCCCCGGTAATGACGACCGCACCATGCTCAAATCAGCCAATGCCTGTGACCAGAGCCGTATATTTCTTCTTGGCTGTGACAAGAGATTTTTGAGGTTGTAGTGTCATTTGCCGAGGAAAGAAAGCTATTTTAGCTTTGAAAATTTATTGTGAATTACAGGCCACGTGCTGCGCTACAATATTTGCCTCGCGTGTTTTCGGCAGCATTTTCTGACCATGTACAGTAAGTGTTGCAGGGCCCCTTTAAATTTGAAGAGGGGCTTTACGGCAAAGCGAAGTTTTTTGGAGTAGGTGCTTTTACTGTTTAGCACTCCTACATTGCAGAGAAACCACCTTTACAGGTAGTGACATGCGGATTAATATACACCTATTCGTTCATTGCGAATACTTCGAAAATATTCGATAATTTAAATTCGAATCTAAGCGAATTCGAATACTCAACTATTCGTTCGAATATTCGAAGCATTTTAATATTTGCACAAGCCTACATTTTGGTGCTAGCATATTATTCGCTAGCAAGAAGGGCTCTTTTACAGCGTTCGAATACGAAGATTGTAGCTTAGCTTGAGCTAAAGCTTCGTTGCTACGGACATCAGCATACGAAAACTATGTGCACGCAAGTCCCAGTAACAGTTGCCGATATGCAAGCTGTATATCGTATAGTTAGCAAGTCATTTCACATCTTTAATTTCCCTTCTGTATTTAGGACATGTGTCCATGACAGGGTGGCCACAGTGCGAGTTTGACAGGGTAAAAGGCTGATTGATTGATATGTGGCGTTTAACATCCCAAAACCACCTATATGATTATGAGAGACGCCGTAGTGGAAGGACTCCGGAAATTTCGAGCACCTGGGGTTCCTCAACGTGCACCCCAAAGGGTAAAAGGCTGTGCAGCGATTGCTTGGTTGCACTTGAAAATGAACACAATTTTTAATTTGTGCAGCCACCGCCAAAAACAATTTAGCAGTGCGAACGTGTTGCCCATAAAAAATTTTGGCATCGTAATGATGGTGTTCAATGAAAATTCTTGCATTTACTTGGGAAATAAGGAAGTGACATGTACTACTCGTATCTATTTTGTACATACTGCAGTGTTTGCTCTCCACTGTTCCCTAATACTGTATTTCTGGCATGATGTTTTCATTCATGACTGACTTTGTACATTTACTGACAGACTAGTGTTCAGATGGGTTTACATTTTGCCTCATACACTTGGGAATGTGAGGGCGAACATGATATGGTTGTTCATAAAACTTACCATCTTTAGCTTATCTGGCAAATCCAGAACACTGCCTGTGCAGTACATTACATGTAAAGAGATTTGACCTTAATGCAGCCAGATATGTGATGGTGCTTCCAGTGTGTTGTTCTTACTGCAAATATCCACTGTTGAACAGTTTTGATGGCTTATTGTGTTGGCTGTATATCATTGGCAACTGTATAGTGTAGAAGAATACCCTGAGCTTTCAGTGTTGAGCTATCACCAGCCTATCACTTGATGGCCCCCACAGCCCTGCTTTGTCGCTCATCACATCTACATTAACTACTTTTATTAGTTGGTCGAAGTTCTTGCCAGATAATTTAAAGAAATTGTGCAAATCCATAGTGAACATGTAATGGAACCTCTTTACTCTGGCATTAGGACATAAGGTATAAACTAGGTTTCTGGCAGCGCACACCTGAAAACATACAAAATTGGTGAAGCCATTTGCAGTTCTATTTTGTTTTACCCCTTTTTTCCTTCCCCTCAGCCATGTTTTTATTTATACATGTCTGAAATAAAGATCCAATTCAACTACTGCATGCTCCATATCCTGGTTGAATAAAGTTACATTAAGAAATGGCGGCACAGTAAGTGTTCCAGTTGTCAGCAGATTACACTGCTACGGTGCTTGAGCTGAAGCTTTCTGTCCGGAAGGAGTACTGTACTCCATTTCTTTTCTAAAGCTACCACAATAGTTGAAGAATCTGAAAATGTGCCCCTCGGTTTGTGGACTGAGCTGTCGTAGTATAGTTTGTGAATTGTTCCAAAAGCAAAAGAGGTATGTCTTACTCATGCTGACACTCTCTTATTATAAATTGGCCCAAGGAACATGTGAGCCAATAACTATGCATTCTGACAAATGCATTACTGAAGAAACAAAGAAATTGTGCACAGAAACAGAAATCCAATCAGACATTGTGCACTGATAACTGGACATTAAACTTAATTGGCTATGCACATTTTTTGTCTTTTTGTGAAAGAACTACAGTGAAGACATGCTGGTTGTGTCCACTGGTACTAATCAACGTGCCATCATGGGAAAAATGGTATGATGGATCTTTTACTAGCTCACTTTACTTCTGACATTTTACATCTCCCTTCTTAAAGGCAACTTGCCTAAAACAAATTTTAAGCTTATCACGGAGTAGCAACAGTTATAAGCTTTGTTGTTATCTCACAGAATTAAGTTCTTGCATTTAAAATAATTCTGTTGTTAGCTGGTGAAAGGGACACTAAAGTCAAATAACAATTTACATCAGAGTGAAAGCGCAATGTATGACTATATCTGAAACGACAATATTATCAACAACAGAGCCCTACTTACCCTGATATTAAGGTAAATGCACAAGAACACAAGCGCTGCAGTAGGACATTTTCAAAATGATTCAGATGACATGAGACGGACCACCTACAAATAATTACTCGTAATCGATCTAACTGCACTAAATAAAGAACCTTCCGTGCATCAAGAGACGCAATAAAATGCTGCTTGTTCGTTTCTGTTTGATTCATGAAAAAAAGAACCGCCGGACGTTACTATGGGGAATGGCGCGAGTGGTTTAAAAATTCAATTTTAACATAGTTACACGGTACAGGTGGTGCAGTTGAAACAAAAGCGTCTGCAATCTCGAAGCCAATTTTCGGGAAATTGATCAATTGTCGTTGTTGCTGCTGTGGCTCCCGCTGATTTCGGTCTGCTGCTACTAGCGCAGTAAAGCTGGGCAACATTGTGCACAGCAACAGTGATGTGAGACGTTCCAATCGGTTTGCTTCTTGAGGCGGGTAATTTGAAGTGAGCTAACTCGATGCGGAGCACTAAAACATGATTTTATTTCAAAATAGGCCTTTTCTTGGCACGTAAGTAACACTACGAGGTTTCTGGACTGCCATTTCAACAATCAACGTCGACTTGATAGTTGGCTTTTGTGTCCCTTTAAAGATTCGAATGAATGAATAAACTTACTTTGAAGTCCCGCAGTTTCGTCCGAGCGAGGTGAGAAAAAAGGAAATTGACCCCTGTTACTTCCCACCCTTCGTCGATTATGATGGCGATGCCTCAGATGACCGCTCAAAGTTCAACAAAGTATTCTTTAGTAATGATGGAAGCGATAAATACACTATCAGCCAGCCATTTATACGTAGTCTGTGGCACCCATTATTTCCACAAAAGTTGTTATACTCGTGGTATTATTGATGTTAAGCTCCCATGGATGAAGAGTGTGTACTAGACATTATGCAAATTTTCATATTCTGGTCCGAACACTTCCGTAAGCAAGTGCATGTGATAAATATTAAACTTCCTGGGTGTAAAGCCAAATGGTTCTCTTTTTTTTTTTCATTCTTCATTGTTCTGGTGTTGGAATATCGAGAGTGCAGGCACTGTTGCGCTGTTCAAAACCATGGTAAATTGATTTTTACAGTCTGCCAGCTGTCTCTGTAACCATCGTTCATACCTTTTGCATTTGTGGTGTGTACTTTCATTTTTTGAACCCTTCTTTATGCATCCTGGCAGCTTGTAATGTGATTGCCAACGCTTTTCCAAGGAACTACTTTCAGAAAATCAGTCATGCTTGCCAAAGAACTTGAGTCCATTCATTAAACAGAATCATTTTATACTAGTGCACATTGTTTCCATAATATAATAATAATGTAATCTGGCAATTAGACTTGAATACTGAATTGCAGCTTCCTTGCACAGCTGTGGGACAGTTAGGAAATATTTTCATAAGTTTAGGTGTGATCTTGCAAATTATGGAAATTTGCACCAGCAGTAAGTACTAAAGTTAAGCTACATTAATACTTTAGATTTTCTGATGGGTTATTGCATATCGCACCACCCATCTGAGGACAGTACATTAAAACAACACTAAGGTTATCTTCCTGCAAACTGTGCAAAGTTTCACTGCAGTGTGTATTTTTTAACCCACAACTGCATTTTTTTGTTTTTTGCTTCAGAATTTCGGCATGCACACCATTGTTAACATCTTATGACTACACAAACATACTATAAGGGTCTTCGTGTTGAGGCCAGCCTAAGAGTTTTTGTAGAAGTTTCATGTTGTGCCCGAATATTAAATATGTATTCAACACAAGCACCTAAAAGCATAGCGTACTTAAGTCCTTAACTCACAATATGTCTAAGTACCTGCTAATGTTTATGTGGACAAGTTAACATTATAGGACTGGTTGTGCACTTCATCAATATCTCTGAATATTTAAGGCCATCTGAAAGGTGCTTTATCAGATGTTTTCATGGAAACATTTTTGTTATTTCAGCCTGGTCTGTTTTCTTGGAATGGTTGAAGCAGCTGTCATGAGACTATGGAGAGATCTGATTGCTGTTGATATCTGCAATAAAGGATGTCTAAACAAGCTTTCCAATGCCCACTTCGAGTCACATAGTTTCTTTGCAAATGTGCAGTGTTCACACAAGTTCGACTCGTCGCTTAGCATAAATAGGGCTTGGCTTTAACTGAGAGTAAAACAAAATGCTAGCCCGAACATAATGCAAAGTAACGCTGCTCTACAGTAACATTAGTAAACGGAACCAGTAAGCAGACATACCGTAAAAATAGAGTACAGTGTTTTTTTGTCTATGTGCTATATTTGGAACAAACGATTCATCACTAACTAATCTGCCTGCATACAAACTAGCAAATTAGTGCTCGCAAAACTCGCAGTGGTGTTTCGATTATGTGCAGCTTTTGCTAGCGCAAACTAGTCTGCAGGCCCTCCATTGCTAGGCTGCAAGAGAATTCTTTAAAAGATTACACTACTATCAATGGTAGAAAAACTATTGATAGCTAGTTTGATAGTACAGTATCAATAGTATAAATTCAATCGTGTAATCTCAGTGCAGAAATATCTTTGTTCCTCAGGTGTGTAGTAAGTGATAGAAGAGGAGCAGGTGGAAGGACAATATCCTGTTCACGAAGAACACTTTGTTGACACACAACTTCAAGTGTTCATCTGCTGCGGAAACAAAGCGGTTATATATATGGCGAAACTGCATTAGCTTCGAACTTGTGCTTCACCATCTAACTTAAAATACCAAGTAGTAATTGTTTGTGTTTTACCTCCCAACACAAGAACATCAAGAAAGAAGTTTATCGTAGGATACGTGTGATTGCTTTTGAATAGCAATTTTTTGGATGGACATGGTCCAGCATTTTTTTCACTGTGGAAACAGTTTCTTTTGCCAAAATATTCCTCATAGACTGAGTACACATATCATACTAGACCTGTGCGTTGGTACCAAAATTGACGGCGATGGCACGCCGGTGCTTTCACCTTCAGCAGCTGCGCGTCAGCGGCGCGGGGTTCATCAGATCGGCGACACCCCTGCGCAAGGGAGGGGGGGGGGGGGGGAAGGGTAGGATCAAGATTCAAGAGTTGGTGGGCAGAGAATTATTGTGGTATATAGCAGCATGTCTTAATGTTATTTATTTACATAGACTTTCATCTCTGTTTTTGAGACATAGCAGGTGTAAATACAAATGTTCAGCTTCTTGAGAAAATACAATTTAACAAATTACATGTTTAGGCGATTCTTTTTTACCAATTACTCACACCGAATCTGTGCAGATATTCATGAAGTTCCTTGCAAAAATGCACATTTTGTAGAAAAATGAAAAACAAACAAAAGAAAATAAAAACAATTCTCAATTGATCTTTAGAGGATCAAATCACCGTGTAGTGTGAATAAGATGCAACAAAGGACATAGGTGCTAGAACACTCGAACCGGTGTGAACTTTTATTTATGCGGGAGGATGACAGGATTGCAAGTGCGATTATGTTTGAGAGGGACTGTAGTGATAAACACGCGTATGCCAAGTAGGCGAGGAACGCTGGTGATAGCGACGAAAACTGAGCATTATTATTTTTTTAGCACATTCTAACATCGTTACGTCATGTTGTGGCGAGGCCACCAAACAACCAACGCATATTCGAGCCTGACCAAAGTCTTATGTGCTGTCAGTCAGCATTTTTTTGCCGAGTTCTTTTAACATGTGTTGGAGGCACAAAAGTTTTCGAAGAGGGTCTTGCGCATTGTTTTGACATTCGTGTGCCATTTTAAATCTGCTGTGAGAGTTACACCAATGTAATAATTACAACACCATTAGTATAAGTAAAATAAGGAAACTTTATTTGAGAAGGTCGTGACTACAGTCTTTTTTTAAGTTTGCCATGCTTTACTCCTGTTTCAAAATTATTAAAAAAAAACAGTATTCAGCACATCCAGATCTTGAGTATTAGAGACAGTTCTACAAATAACGGCATCGTATGCATCCATTCTATGTTGAATTTGATTATCATTGATAATTTCTTCTTTATCATTTATATAAATAATATACAAAAGCAGACCAAGAATCACGCCTTGAGGCCTCTTCCTGATGTGTACTCCAGACGACTTCGCGTGGTTAAACATAACAAATTTCGAGCGTGATAGCTAGTAATCTGCTATCCGATCAACCAGCTTGTTGAAGCCAAAAAATGTAAAAAAGCTGAAAGTTTAGCATGGGAAACCATGTCAAAGACCTTGGAATAGTGAATAAATATGACACCAACCTGTTTTCGGTCGTTAAGAGAAGCAATGTCGTGCGTAAACTGAAGGAACTGTGTAACAGTAGAATGCCAGCACAAAGGCTTTGCTGCGAATGTGAAAGCACATTGTGTGCATTTACGTATTCTAGAATGTAATTGTTAATGATATGCTTCAAAAGTTTAGAGCTGGTAGAAAGCAAAAATATTGACTTATGATTTGGAATTATTTGTCATTTTCCGGACATAAATACGGCCGCTACATTTGTTAATTTCTACAGCTGGGGAACTGTTGCAGAGATTATTGATTTTTTAAAACTTTATAGTAAGAGTCCGCACAACATTCTGAATACCACTTTAGGAACATATTCGGAATACCATTCGAGCCAGATTGTTTCGAAACCTCATGATTTAATACGAGGTTGTGTACTCCAAGAAAGCTTAATTTAAGATTGGAAAGAGCAGGTAGTTTGATGCACGTGAAAAATGAAGGGAGTGATGCCATTATCGGTATAAAAAGACAGGTTTGAAGTTATTATTAAAGGCATTTGCTATAGCTTGAGGATTTGAAGAGGACCAGCCATCAAGAATAAAGATGAAGGCAAAGACGATGTAGGACCAATCGAGCTGTAGAACTTGGATGTATTTTTTTTTCATAAATGCAGTGAAGGCATTGCTGAAGTAGTAGTACTTACCTTTTTCATTTTAGCTTCTAGTTTACTTTTCAATACATTAAATGAAGAACAGGTGGTCGAAATTTCCGGAGCCCTCCACTACGGCATCTCATAATCATATTGTGGTAAAAAAACGCTGCCCTGGAGAGTGTGCGTCATGCTTTGACGTAGAAAGTCGGTGTGCGGGGCCGATTTAGTATTTTAAGGTGCGCGGGAATCATCATGATGGTGATAGCGGTAAAACTATGAGCGCGCCTATGTGCGTGCTCGTGCGCGTACCACGTGAAAAGCTCCCGAGCCACGGGGACAGCTCGGCTAACCCCAGAGAGCAGAGAGCAAGGACAAGTTCGGGCCACGCCCCGGCTGCTCGTTCTGACCCTCCGTGTCCGGGCCTCGTCTCGGCGTTGAAGTCCTCGGGTGCGTTCTGGACTGGGCATCGCCCCACCTCGCCCCCACGTTGGTCTGAAGCGGCGTTCGTCACGGCCAGCTGCTGTTCTGGTCTCGGAGCGAGACGCTGTCCCAGGACTGTTCGCAGGCAAGCCCTGGCGTTGACCACCGTACTGGGATGCCCCTGGCGGTTATCTTCTAGACCGGGCCCCGCCTCGGTACGAACTCCGCAAGCACAAGGCACACCGCCTCCTGACTACCAGAGAGCTCAAGGTCAAGCACAACGTTCACACCCCAAGAGTAGAATGTGAGTGGACGAACAAGAACATTAACTCCCTTTCGCGTAGGACCGTGAACGCGTGTATATATGTGTGAGTTTATGTTGTGTGTATCCATTTGTCCGTCTTCGTGTATATAAAAGTCTCTCGTTGTCCTCGAACGTCCTCTGTCCTCATCTGGCTAACCTGTGCCCACAGTTGCCCACACATATAGTGGTTTTGGAATGTTAAACCCCACATATCAATCAATCAATCATTAAATGAAGAAGCATTATTGTTATGCTAGGAATGTCAATTCTTACATAAGTGTTTTATATGAGGAGTGAGATTAACTATATGTTTATGGCTCCGTGGGGGTCTTGGTTTCCACTTATTATATATTTGAGGCACAAACTTTGATAGGCAATCACGTACAATGTCACAAAACTTGAAAAGGAGCTAAAAAGTGGGCGATCAGGCCAGTTAGTGATATATGATCTAAGTATACTATGCGGTAGAAAAAACGGGCGGGACTGCGCTTGCCCTTGTTTTTTTTTGTTTTTTTTCATTCATGTTTTCTACCGCGTAGTATACTTAGATCTTGAAAAGAAGCACATCTACGTTGCGAAAATCGCTACAACATTCGAATTCGTAAAAAGATGCAGCTGAACTGATCAGTACGAAAGTGTCATCAACTTTAAAAAAGTTCAATAGACTTTTGATCTCATGTATTTGAGGACAACACACTAAGTTTGGGGCGACTTCAACAGTTTTATGGTCAGAAAACCTTTCGACGACTTCGCACTTTACACCGTGTGATAGGAGCATGCAGCCCCGTAACGAACTTAGGCTGCAGGTTACTCTTTTTATCTGATATCGTGTAACTGCAGAACGTTGGCGTATGGAAATACGGCCACTTGCCGGAAAAAGGCAGTGTTTGTGCAGTGAACTCATTAGCGCGTAGAAAGGTACACGAGCCGTTCGCCAATGCCTCCTGAAATGGCGAGCGTGCAAGCACTCGCAGCGCTGTCCTTATACTAAAGGTTCACAGTTGCGGATCGAGCCATGCAGCCTCCTACCTGAGCATCTCTTCATGTTTACTCATTCGTCCAGCAAAAAAGAGACAGGGCTTCTTTCCCAATTGAGGAGCAATCAATATTAGGCATCGCACGCGGAGAGATGTTGTCACATGCGCTCTCCAGGTGATGGAGATGGGCAGCATATTTCATCTATGGTTCAGCAGTGTTACTTGCTAGCTCTCGTAAGATTGTACCCTGCGGGAAAAGCATACAGTGTGCGTAAAAAGTTATTTATTTGGTCTTTATACGGAACATGAAAGCAACAATGAAAGACTGTAGAGAGTGTCCATATAATTCTTGTCACAATCGAAAAATATACATAAACCCTCGAAGCAGGTAGGCCTTTTTTATGGAAAGCTGCGTCGTCTTTGCTGCAAAGAATTCGTCTGTTGGGAAAATGAAATAATCCGGAGTCTCTTCTTTTAATTTTGCTGGTT